TCAGTGAAAGAAACTCCAGGGTGACTGGCTGTGGTGGCGAACACAGAGACGGAGGCCAAATACCCCTCTGCCCTGAGACTGGCAAAGACACCAAACCCCTAATGCTCTTCCTAAGAGGAAGGAGTAGTGTTTGGCTGGGCCAAGGGGCCAGAACTAAAAGCAGCAGGATAAACACAGACTGGCTGGGCGCGAGGGTGGCTCAGGGCAATGCTGTTGGTTGAGGACGCAGGGAGCTGGTGTTGTTCAAGATCGACACCTGCGGAAAACTACAACTCCCGGCGTGTCCCGCGGTCCCCCCACCCCAGCCAAAAGCCGGACGGTCACGTGATCCGTGCTCACGTGTCTCCGCAGCCGGCTCTGGAATGAAGCACCGAAGGTAGGTGGTAGGAGCTAGAGGCGGTGGAGGGTGGGGGCCTTAGGTCCCGGGATCCCTGGAGTCCCCCACTGCGGCAGAGCTCGGGCCCATTCCCTGCAGGGCTCTGGATCCCAGCGTTCTCGCCCACGCCCACCCTCTGTTGCGCCGGCCTCGCCGCGCCTCAGCCCCGCCCGTCTCCACCTAGTGCTAGGACGGGATCGAGGCCGCGCCCCAGTTTACCCCACAGTAGCCCACCCGCCTCGCGTCAGGCCTGGGGATCAGCACCCCCCGCCCCCGCCCGGGTGCGCCCTGGCCCACCCCCCAAGGCAGTCCACACCCCCAATTTCAGGACTCCGGCCCCAGGCTAGACTGGGGACCCGCTCTGGTTGGGATCTGAGGGGCCTACTGCAATGGTTATATCTCTGGCCTGAACATGTGGGCATCAGGCTTCTAGTTCATGCCCTGCCATCTACCCAATGTGGCCTTAATCTAACCTCTTCCCCTCCGTGCGCCTATTTCCCTATCTGATCTGGCACTCTATTATATGAGTTAGTATCAGAGCGGCCTCAGTACCCTTCACTCTGCTGAAGCCAGCACAAAAACAGCCCAGACTCTTCTCTGCTGACAGCAGATTTTAGGTAAAGTCTTGAGAAGAAATTGGGGCCATAGAGGGAAGGAAGAGAATCAGATTACAGATCTCTGGAAAGAAGGAACGACCCTCGTCTGTCATAGCCAGTCAGGTAGAAGGAGCAGGTAAGCTGGGATCAATAGAGCTTGTAATTTGGTGGGGGGCGGCGGGGGGAAGCTGAGATATCTTGGACCAACGCGGAAAGTCTGCCAGAGGTGGGACCACTCAGCCTCAGAGTTCTTCTGTGGGTGGCAGGAGAGGCTGGGCAGATAGCGCAAGCTGGGGGCAAAGGGAACCATACTACTTGGGGAGTCAGGAAGCTGCACCAAGCCTTGTGACCTTGGACAAATCACCCTGTAGAACTCTGTCTATGATGTGAGCAGGGTGGAGGAGGTAATCTCACAACTCTGGCAGCACCAACTTTGCAGGGCTCTCTCTGGAGCTATGCTGGAAACCTGGGAGTCCTGAGACTGCTTTCACCACTCACCAGTTTCATTTTTTGCTGAGTTGCTGGCTGGGTGGCAGGTTGCGTAAGAGGAAGAAGTCCTGTGCATCTGACTGACCATTCTAGAGTCAGCAGAGGAATGTTTCCTCTGGAGCTGTGTCCCTTGGTTTCATGCTTGATGACAGATGATCACCCAAACTTTCCCCTTTCCCTCTCGTGAGTATGCGATTCCCAGCTGTGTTTGTCTGTCACCAGGTGGAGCAAAGGGAAGTATCTCAAGGGGCCTCCTTGTTAGCAATTCTAAACCCCCAGTGGGCTGTGGGCATCAGAGAGGATGGCCCTTTGGTTGGCAATGATTGGATCAGTGTCATGGCTGAATCTGGTCAGTTCTCTTCTCCATGGGCTATAGAGAGTAAATCAGGGAGGGACAGTAGAGAATAAAATACAGCGCCGTCCCGTGGCTCACTCGGGAGAGTGCGGTGCTGATAACACCAAGGACACGGGTTCGGATCCTATATAGGGATGGCTGGTTGGCTCACTGGCTGAGTGTGGTGCTGACAACACCAAGCCAAGGGTTGAGATCCCCTTACCGGTCATCTTTTAAAAAAAAAAAAAAGGAGAGAGAAAGAATAAAATACAGAAGTTTGTTTTGGTTTGTGGTTTCTTTTTGTGACTGGTGGGTAAGAGGATCCGAACCCTTGATCTTGGTGTTACCAACACAACGCTCTCCCAAGTGAGCTAACCGGCCAGCTCAAATACGGAGTTTTCCTTTTTGTCTTTTTTCGTGTCTGGCAACGGATCACAACCCTCAGTGTCGCACCTGTACCGGACCAGGACCGGCAACGGGATCGAAACCCTCGGTGTTGCTCCCACACCTCGCTCAGCCAGTGAGCGGGAACCGGTCTGTATGTGGGATCTGAACCCTCAGCGGGAGCGCCACCGCACTCCCAAGCAGCGCACCGTAGCAGTGCGCCACCGGGCCAGCCCACAAATACGGAGTTTTCTATGAAGACCCTGGGGTCAGGACTCAGGAATGAGGAGACTATGGGGGAACAATAATTTGACAGATTTCACGAGCCTGGTGGTAACCAGCCAAAAGCAGCCCCTGTGGAAGGCTGTGTCTGCCTCCTCACTGCCCACTCAGCTTCTGCTCTTTTAATCTGGCCTTCATGATGCTCTTCCTCCCATTAGCTATCCCAATGCCTTGTGCTCATTGTCACCTGGCCAATGCACCAGGCCCTGGTTTTGATCAGTATTCTGCTCTCCGCTTGCTTAGGGCTAAGGATTCTTATGCATGGTGAACATGGGCAACATGGAAGGGGCATTTGCAAAATTAACAGGAGCGATGACCATTTATTGAGTGCTAAACCCTTGCTAATATTAACACACACCTCAGAGGAACTTATGATGTAAAGGCTTAGAGAGGTGAAGTGACTTGCTCAAGATCACACAGGTATGGGCCGGCCCGTGGCTCACTCGGGAAAGTGCGGTGCTGATAACACCAAGGCCCCGGGTTCGGATCCCATATAGGGATGGGCCGGTTCGCTCACTGGCTGAGCGTGGTGCTGACAACACCAAGTCAAGGGTTAAGATCCCCTTACCGGTCATCTTTATAAAAAAAAAAAAAAAAAAAAAGATCACACAGGTAGGAAGTGGAGTCAGCATTCTGACTCAGAGTCTAATCAGAGACCCACATCACACCCCTCCATGCTCAGGACTGCTCTTGATCTGGGGGTGGGCTTAGTTCTTTAAGACCATCATTTCTCTTGAGGGGTTCTCAAACTGTAAGCTGAACCTTGAGAACACTGAAGGTCATTTTTTTTTTTTTTTTTTTTAAAGATGACCGGTAAGGGGATCTTAACCCTTGACTTGGTGTTGTCAGCACCACGCCCAGCCAGTGAGCGAACCGGCCATCCCTATATGGGATCCGAACCCGGGGCCTTGGTGTTATCAGCACCGCACTCTCCCGAGTGAGCCACCGGGCCAGCCCATGAAGGTCATTTTTCAGGGCTGGGCTCTTCAGAGAATCTCACGATTCTGGGAAGAAGAAGCTTTTTCCCAGTTTTCAAGAAAGAGGACATAGGCCAGAGAAAAAGCTGCAACTCCCCTGTGTGTTTACCCAGAGAGTAAAGAGAATCAATCAGGCTCTGAATTCAACCGTGCCCGCAGTACCATCATGGGCCCAGAGGTGGGGCACATATGAACAGGTGGGTGCTATAGAGTCCAACAGGCCTGGGTTGGAATCCCAGCTCCACCCCTGACTGCTGTATGACCCAGGGTAGAGTGCTTAACCCCTCTGGGATTCAGTTTCCTCGTTGGTAACATGGCGATGATCATTTCTACCTTTTAGGGCCACATGGAGAATTGAATGAGATAAAACATTCCATAGCTACAGTGATCATGGTTGACAGTAACAACCACACATTCTGCCTCAGAGCCTTGTAGTCTAGCCCAGAGCAAGCCTAGTGCCTGTGAAATGCTAACACATGAGAGAATACCAGCCTGAGTGGAGCTGGGCCCCCAGGGGCTCCAAGAAGAGCTCAGTGAGTGTCTGAAGAAATGGGGAAGATACAGGGCCTGAAAGGTGACTGACAGAGAGGGGCTGGGAGCATTCCAAGCACAGCATTAATTATCATTTTCCTGAGGACACAAATGTGACTGGTATGGGGGCCTTGTCACATGGGAGAAGAGTGAGAATTGGCCTGAATTTTCTTTTTCTTTTTTTCTTTTTTGGGGGGGCCTGAATTTACATCGGCTGCATATTTAATTTTTTAGGTGTCACATTGATTTTGTGGTTATGTTTAAAAAGAAGACCCTGGGCCAAGCCCGTGGCGCACTGGGGAGAGTGCGGCGCTGGGAGCGCAGCAGCGTTCCCACCACAGGTTCGGATCCTATATAGGGATGGCCGGTGTGCTCGCTGGCTGAGCGCGGTGCGGCCGGTCTCAAAAAGGGCAAAAAAAAATAAAATAAAATAAAAAGAAGACCCTTATCTTTTAGAACTACATGCGGAAATATTTACTGATGAAATGATGGAACAGCTTGTATTGGCTTCAGAATAATCCAGAATGGGAAGGAGAATAAGATAAAACAAGATTGGCCATGAATTGATTGTTTTTGAAGCTGAGTGATGGGTACATGGGAGTCCATTATACTATTCTCTCTACTTCTTTGTGTTTGAAATTTTTCACAAGATTTTTGGTTTTAAAAGAAGATCCCACGAGCCGGCCCGGTGGTGCACTGGAGAGTGCTCCGCTTGGGAGTGCGGTGGCGCTCCCGCCGAGGGTTCGGATCCCATGTGGAGACCGGTTTCCGCTCACTGGCTGAGCGAGGTGCGGGCGCGACACCGAGGGCTGCGATCCTGTTACCGGTCAGTAAAAAAAAAAGACAAAAAGGAAAAAAAAAAAAGAAGATCCCAACCCAGCAACCTCCAGCTGTCTGTTAAAATTGCCCTGCAAGATGAGACGCATTTGCAAACTCACTTTGGGCATTGGCCCAGTAACTACCAAGCAAGCCCAGGATGCCCTTCGTTGCCAGGGCTTTCCCACACTCTCTTTTTCTGCCCCTGCCTGCAGAGCATGCTGGTTTTCATCATCAGTGGCCTCGTCATCCTGGCCTACTGCTCTCGGGCCAGCAATGAGAGGACCTACCAGGAGGTGGTATGGGCTGTGTGTGGCAAGCTGACGGGTGTGCTGTGTGAGGTGGCCATTGCTGTCTATACTTTTGGCACCTGCATCGCCTTCCTCATCATCATCGGGGACCAGCAGGACAAAAGTGAGATTCCCCCTCAGTACCAGCCTCATCTCTGCTCCTCAGCCCTGGGGATTGTGGGGTAGAGGGAAGAAGCGCTGAATACTTTCCCAGGACTTGCCTGGGCTCAGCGTTCATCTGGGGATCCTCCTGCAGGCTGCTGGGCTGTTAGACAGGGGGAGGCCTTGGGGCCCCGCAGAGCAGGGTGGCCGCACCCTGTGGTACCCTGGCATGACCCTGCCTCCTTCCTCCCCATGCAGTTATAGCTGTGATGGCAAAGGAGCCTGAGGGGACCAGGAGCGGCCCCTGGTACACAGACCGCAAGTTCACCATCAGCCTCACTGCCTTCTTCTTCATCCTGCCCCTCTCCATCCCCAGGGAGATTGGCTTCCAAAAATATGCCAGGTTTGGAGGCCCCACCCCAGTCTGGACTGGACAGAAGCTATGATCACAGGCAGCCAGAGACCCACGGGCTGCTGGGGAATCCTTCTGCTCCAGGCCATTTGCATTCTCAGGGAGCAAGAGTGACAAGGCGGGCGGGCCAGGGCTTGCAGGCATAAGACTTTCCTTTTCTGTCTCCATCAAAGGAGACAGCGGCTCTGTACGTCAGTGAGAGATTCAGTTCTGAATGTCCTTGTCAAAAAAGGGACTGGTAATGGCCAGACATGAAAGCAGCCTGCTGGCCTGGCCTTGACTTTCCCTGGGAGGATGGGATTTGGGATCATTTGGGATTGTCAGCCTGGCAGCATCTTCCATGCAGCTTGATATGAAGGAAGGAGACTGGCTTTCTGTCTCAGTGTCTGAAAAGCTGTGGAATTCTAGGCTATTTCCCAGTCTGTAAAGGAAGGGGTCACACTCAGCTGTCTCCAGCGTCCCCTTAAATGTCGACATTCTAGTATTTAACTCTGGGGTCTCCTAGTTCTCAAAGGCCGGGCCCAGAAGACAGCCTGCTCACAGCCCTCACCAAGTCTGGCTGCTCTGAAGTTGCAGATGTGCTTTGGAGCCCAGCTCTCTGCCATGGTCTCTGAGCCATGGAGCTAAACCAGCGCATTTCCCAGTATCCAGAAATGCTAGTCGGGTCCCCTATTGGCTGTCCAGCTCCCTCCTAGCTGTGGCAGGTTTCTCTGAAACTTATTTCTCAGGCATTTCCTGAGTCTCTGCTTGGCATAATCCCCCAACTCCTTCAGTGGACACTTGTCACTAGGGTGAGGATGGATGTCGCTGGGGATGGAATCAGAGAAGGGGCAGCTGGGGCTAGGAAGGAGGAAGTCAATCTCTCCTTCCCGCAGCTTCCTGAGTGTCGTGGGCACCTGGTATGTCACTGCCATCATTATCATCAAGTACATCTGGCCAGATAAAGAGATGACCCCAGGGGACATCCTGACCAGGTAGGGGAGGGCCCCTTGGAGACATAGAGGGTAGAAGCTGCTACTTGGGCCCCAGGAGGTGCTGGGACAGGCATCAAAAGGCCACACAGGTGCCCTTCCCAAAGCCTATCTGCTCATCGGGGATGACTCATTGGTCATTGTAGGAAGGAGGCAAGGGGTCTCAGGAGGTGCTGGGACAGGCATCAAAAGGCCACACAGGTGCCCTTCCCAAAGCCTATCTGCTTATCGGGGATGACTCATTGGTCATTGTAGGAAGGAGGCAAGGGGTCCTGATCTCTTTTTACTGGAAGGAAGAGACAGGAGGACACTGCCACCAACATCAAACAGATGAGCCAATGGGAAACAAGGCCTTAGTTGTGGAGACTGCCAGGGTGGAGCTGCACATTTTTCCAACTTGTGCTTATCAGTAATTTCTGTATCTTCTATATGAGGATGAATCTTTATCATTTAAAAAAAAAAAAAGAAATTCCCTTTTTTTGAAAGAACAAACCAGAAAAACAAAAGCCACAGTACACGAGCTAGGAATTCTGGATTTTGGCCCATTTGGAGCCTCAGTTTACTGACTTGTGAGGTGGAGGTGTCACCTCTCCCCACTCCCACACGATGTGAGTTGATCGTGTAGAGCACTGGTGAGGGGACGGACATCTGGCCAGATAAAGAGATGACCCCAGGGGACATCCTGACCAGGTAGGTGAGGGCCCCTTGGAGACATAGAGGGTAGAAGCTGCTACTTGGGCCCCAGGAGGTGCTGGGACAGGCATCAAAAGGCCACACAGGTGCCCTTCCCAAAGCCTATCTGCTTATCGGGGATGACTCATTGGTCATTGTAGGAAGGAGGCAAGGGGTCCTGATCTCTTTTTACTGGAAGGAAGAGACAGGAGGACACTGCCACCAACATCAAACAGATGAGCCAATGGGAAACAAGGCCTTAGTTGTGGAGACTGCCAGGGTGGAGCTGCACATTTTTCCAACTTGTGCTTATCAGTAATTTCTGTATCTTCTATATGAGGATGAATCTTTATCATTTAAAAAAAAAAAAAGAAATTCCCTTTTTTTGAAAGAACAAACCAGAAAAACAAAAGCCACAGTACAGGAGCTAGGAATTCTGGATTTTGGCCCATTTGGAGCCTCAGTTTACTGACTTGTGAGGTGGAGGTGTCACCTCTCCCCATTCCCACACGATGTGAGTTGACCGTGTAGAGCACTGGTGAGGGGACGAGTGGTGGCTCTGAGGGGTCCACAGGCAGCAGCTTCTTGTGTGTTTGTCCACAGGCCAGCTTNCGTGTAGAGCACTGGTGAGGGGACGGGTGGTGGCTCTGAGGGGTCCACAGGCAGCAGCTTCTTGTGTGTTTGTCCACAGGCCAGCTTCCTGGATGGCCGTGTTCAATGCTATGCCCACCATCTGCTTCGGATTTCAGGTGCCAGTTGCAAGGTCCCCAGTGTCCCCTTAGCTCACTCCCACCCCAGATGGCACCCACATTACAGGCAGGATGGGGGGATCCTGGGAGGAAAGATGGAGTAGTGGCCCAGGACTTGCCCCTTGTCCCTAGAGTCTTTGTTCCCAGGATACCTCCCTGTGGAAATGGGGGGGTGAGGTCACTTCTCCACCATGACCATGCCCTTCACCCGGACAGTGTCATGTGAGCAGTGTGCCCGTCTTCAACAGCATGCGGCGGCCCGAAGTGAAGACCTGGGGTGGGGTGGTGACAGCTGCCATGGTCATAGCCCTTGCTGTCTACATGGGCACAGGTGAGTGCTCCCACTCCCCTTGAGTCCCCAAGGCCTGTGGCCCAGCTTTCCTGGGAGCAGTCCTGTACTGCCAGCACAACACACTTCTGGAGCCTCTGGCTTGAACTTGGGCCCCCTGGGGCCACCTCTAACTAAAATGAGAGAAGTGTATTCATCCATTCATTCAGCAGTTCTAGTAAGTGCCAGGAACTGTTCTAAGCATGGGGATACCATGGAGATAGACAGAGCCTCTCCTGCCCTCATGGAGTTCACAGTCTCATTGAAGAGACAGTCATGCAAGAGTAAATAAGGAATCGGTAAGGAATTCCAGACAGTGGCTAGTGCCGTGAGGACAGTGAGACAGGGAAGACATGCATGGGACAGAGTGTGGGTGGATTTAGGGGGATGATTCACAGAAGGCTCCTCTCTGAGGAGGTGGCATTTAGGGAGGCCCAAATGGTGAGAAAGAACTAGAATATGAAGAGCTAGAGGAAGAGTGTACCAGAGAGAAGAGCCAAAGGGGACAGAAAGGAGGTCTGTGTAGCTGGAGTAGAGTGAGCTATGGGCAGGTGGCAGCCCATGAGGCCACACAGATAATGGGGGCCAGATCCTGCTGGGCCTTGAGGACTGTTGGGAGCCAAAAAGGAAGCATTTTAAGCAGGGGAGTGGCTCTGGCTGCTGTGGGGAGGGTGGTTTGAATAAGGGGGCAAGACTGGGAGACCAGGAGGAATGTCCCTGTGATGCCTCCCACGGGTGGGCTCAGCAGCTGCCTTGGCCAGCACTGTCGCAGCTTCTGAAGACACAGCCAGGAACAGGGAGGCCAACAGGCAAAGTCGCTCTTCTCCTGGGGCTCAGGCTTGGCTGGGGAGACAAATGATAAACCAGTAAAACAAAATTCAGAGAGACAAGTGCTGTGAAGAAAACAGAACAGGGTTGAGAGAGAGCACCTGGGGTGGGGGCTGCTGTGGAAGCGCTGGTGGGGGAGGCTTCCTGGAGGAGGTAGCATCTGAGCTGAGACCTGGATGATGAGGAGATGGCAGCGTGACAATCTGGGCACACAGAACTGTTAGTACAGAGGCTCTGAGACAAGAACACGCTGCTGGGCAAGTTCAAGATCAGAAAGGAGGCAGTGTGAGGGCTGCAGGGAGGCCAACAGGCAAAGTCGCTCTTCTCCTGGGGCTCAGGCTTGGCTGGGGAGACAAACGATAAACCAGTAAAACAAAATTCAGAGAGACAAGTGCTGTGAAGAAAACAGAACAGGGTTGTGAGAGAGCACCTGGGGTGGGGGCTGCTGTGGAAGGGCTGGTGGGGGAGGCTTCCTGGAGGAGGTAGCATCTGAGCTGAGACCTGGATGATGAGGAGATGGCAGCGTGACAATCTGGGCACACAAAACTGTTAGTACAGAGGCTCTGAGACAAGAACACGCTGCTGGGCAAGTTCAAGATCAGAAAGGAGGCAGTGTGAGGGCTAGAGGGCTTCCAGCCAGGGGGCATATGAGAGGTCAGAGAGGGAGGCTGCCGATCCCAGCCCCGACTCCCCCTCTGAGCCTCAGTCTCAGCCCTTGGCTGCTTCACTGTCCTCTCTGGCTACTGTTGCACCTGGGAGGAGTGGACGGTCCATCCCCTTCTCCTCCCAGGGTTGCCCTGACCCTCCCTTGTCCCCGTGCACAGGCATCTGTGGCTTCCTGACCTTTGGGACTGCTGTGGACCCTGACGTGCTCCTGTCCTACCCCTCAGAGGACATGGCTGTGGCCGTTGCCCGCGCCTTCATCATCCTGAGCGTGCTCACATCCTACCCCATCCTGCACTTCTGTGGGCGGTGAGCCCCTCCTTACCCAGCCAGGGGTCTCCCGCTCACCAGGGCCCCTCAGAGCCCCTATAAGCCCTTCTGCCAAGGTCCTTTGGCCTTGTGTGGAAACCATTTCGTAGAAGGAGAAACTGAAGCCCATTAATAACAGTCAGAGCCTACCATGGCCCTTAAGTACCCATGGGGTGCTTGGGGGCTCCCTTTATCCCAGGGTCACCAGAACTTCTGTGAGTCCTCTGAGAATCTCTAGTCCAGATCCTTTCCCGAGCTTTGACATGGACACCAAATATCTGGGTACCCCAGGCCCTTCCTTTTAAGAAGAATAATAGTATCAGTTAACGTGTGGTGAGCACCTGGGCCATGCAAGGCACTCAGCCCTTCCCATGGACCATCTCATCCAGTCTCCACGGCAACCAAGGAGAGTACTGCTAGACCAATTTTACAGAAGAGGAAACAGGCTCAGGCATTAGGGCCTTGACCACAATCTACCCAGCTAGGGGTCTGGCTCCGGTGAGCTAGAGGTGGGGGCTGTTAGCAGGGGTGCCTCTGAGCCCCTCTTCATGTGAGCAGGGCAGTGGTTGAAGGTCTGTGGCTGCGCTACCAGGGGATGCCTGTGGAGGAGGACGTGGGGCGGGAGCGGCGGCGGCGAGTGCTGCAGACGCTCGTCTGGTTCCTGCTCACCCTGCTGCTGGCGCTCTTCATCCCTGACATTGGCAAGGTCATCTCGGTCATCGGGGGCCTGGCTGCCTGCTTCATCTTTGTCTTCCCAGGTGCGGACTCACAGCACAGACTTCCAGGGCCTTCCTGGCCCCAGGTCCCCACTTGCTCAAAACCTGCCAGAGGGAATAACCAGCAAAATTTATTTCTCACCCACCTCAGCTCTGGACTAGCCCCTGTGCAAGCATTATCTCCTGGAAAGAAGGTGTAGTTAGGATCTTGGTTTTACTGATGAGGAGATGTGAGGCGCAGAGAGGGTACAAACTTGCCTAGAGGTTAATAAGCTCCGCTAATAAGCAACATACCTTTCAAACCCAAGTCTGTCTGGGTCCAGAGCCTATGCTCTTAATCTTCCATTACAGTCTCTGTTGCTCTCTGGCTATCACGGATCTATCTGGCTGGTTCAGCTCATTACAGCCCAGACAGCAGTGGGGTGAGAAGGTGGCACCCTGCTGCAGGCATTCAGAGACCTGAGTTCCAGATGCAGGTCTGCCACCAGAGCCCTGGAAAACTGTTCTGTCTGCCCAGCCAGGAGTTCCACCCATACCCAGCTGGTTTCTATCCAGGAGGCCACCTTGAAAGCCCTTGCCACTTTGCTTGGAGCAAGGGAGCCACATCAGCTCAGAAGTGTACTGGGAAGGGCCCTGGGGTATGGGCCACCACTGAGTACCATTCAGTGCTGTCCCTTTAGCTCTGAGTCTTGTACGCAGCCCTAGGGGTGCTTGTCAGATGCTGGCTTGTCCTGGGAGAGCAGATGCCAGACCACCAGCTGCATATGGAGTAGAGGGGCAGAGATGGAATACCTGGAAGAGCAAACATAGGCTTTTCTCCATCCACCACCACTCTTGGTAAAGGGAGAAGCTGAGCCTGAGAGAGGAAGTCCCTTCCCCCCCACAAACTCAGGGCCACTTCTTCTCTTCCAGGGCTATGCCTCATTCAAGCCAAACTCTCTGAGATGGAGGAAGTCAAACCAGCCAGGTAAAGCAGGGCCCACCTCATGGGTCCCTCGGGGAAGTGTTGGATGAGGGGTAGCCTTGGGGTGCTCTTAAAATAGGTAGGAGTCAAGAGACTTGTGTACTTAAAAATCATGGGGTTTTTATAATACTTCTTTTAAAATGGGTCACACGTACTAGTTGTAACAATTTAAACACAAGTGAAGGACATTAGAGAAAAAAGGTGGAAGTCCCTCTTCCCCTACCGTGTCCCTTCTCCTGAGATAGCTCCATGTTATCACTGTGGTCTGTGCCCTTCTAGACTGTTTCCATGCATATATACATGTTTGCGCATAGTTGTACATATCTACCCACAAATATGGGACTTTTTTTGTACAGTTGTGTTTTATCATAAATGGTTTCATGCCAGACACTCTTTTCTGCCCCTTGCTTTTTTTCCCCACGTAACCATGTCAGCACAAGAAGATCAGCTTCTTCATTTTTTCAATGGGTGCAGAATATTCTCTTGTCTGTATGTGTCCTGAGTGTGGATCCTCTCATACATCTTGGCACACCTGTTCAAGGATTTTGGTAGGATCAATTCTTAGAAGGAAATTGGGTCACAGGGCATGTTCATTTTACTTTGGCACATGGGTTCAAATTTCCCTCCAAAAAGGCAGTGCCAGGTGGAGTCCCAGCTGCAGTGAATGAGAGTGTCCTTTTCCCCACACCCCTGCCAGTACTGGATAAAACAGCTTTATCAGTTTTGTTAGTCTGATGGATGAAAAACATTACATCATTTTAATATGCACATTACTCTGAATGGTAGAGAGGTTGAGAGCAGGTCACATCCTTTATTTTTCTGTTTGATTTTGTTTTGTTTAGTGGCTAGGTGGTAAGGGGATCCAAACCCTTGACCTTGGTGTTCTCAGTACCACACTCTAACCAAGTGAGCTAACCGGCCAGCCCACAGGTTGCATGCTTTTTAAAAAATTATGTAATAATACTTATTTATTATAGAAAACTTTGAGAATACAGATATGTCTAAAGAAGAACAAAAAACACCCTTAATCTTAATACCCAGTTATAACTATCTTGCTGTTTTTGATATATATATTTGCAGATATCTGCTTTTTATTTCTTTTTCTTAATGAAATAGATCACGTTCTGTATGACCTGCTTTTTCCTGAACATCTTTCCATCAGGAGACCTGTGTTCCAATCGTGGTCCTGCCCTTGGCATACTGTGACCAGTCAATTAATCCCAGGTCTTGGTCTCCTTATCTGTGGACCAGGGATAATACACCTGGCCCCACATACCTTTGTATGGAAAGTTCTTGGGAAATAGGAAGTACACTATCAACAGGAGAAGTGGTAGAGTAATAATCACTTATAGTAATTAATTGTAACATATATGGAAGTCCACAGAGTCATGGGATGGGGTGACTGATCAGGTCCCTCTGCCCTACAGCTGGTGGGTGTTGGTCAGTTACGGAGTCCTCTTGGTCACCCTGGGAGCCTTCATCTTCGGCCAGACCACAGCCAACGCCATCTTTGTGGATCTCTTGGCATAACCACTGCCTCCGGGGGAACACATGGCCTCTGCCTCTGGACCCAGGAATCCATCTCGTAGAGCTGTGGGGCCACTCCGAGTCCAGATTATTCCAGCTGGTGGGATGACATTGGACATCCTTTTCCAGGGACAGTTCTGGGGCAAAGTCAGGCCCCACACCTCTGAACAGCTCAAACCCAGCTTCCTTCCCACTCCCCAGTCCTGGCAGTGCTGTGGATGGTGGCAGGAGATCTCACATCACAGAGGAACATTCCTCCTCTCCCAGCTCTCAACTTCTCCATGCCTGGGTGAAGAGGGTCAGTAGGTCTCAGAAGAAAGAACCCAGACTGACTTTTTTCCAGAGAAAAACCATGAGCAAAGGGCCACCGCCCACAGAGCTGCCTGTCCTGACTGGGAGCTGTGCTCATTACCCTGGGATTCAGTACCAGCTCCAGTTCATCGGCAGCCATGGCCAGGGGTAGCTCCCTCTGGGATCTGGCAACTTCCAAAGGTAGCACTGAGCTCACACAATACAAAGAGGCAGGTACATTCCAGCCTTGTCCACTCCCTCCTGAGCCCCCAGTGAACCTGGTAGCCTCCTTCCCATGGCTAGTTGATATTTCCCAGGCTTTTCGGGGCCCTGCCCTACCTCTTTCTCTAAACTTGATGGGCGAGGCTGGGCACCCCTCTCCTCCTCCCTCCCCAGACATCACCAAGTCTAATGTTTACAAACGGTGTCAGCCCTGCTCTGAAGCCAGCTGCCATCCCGTGCCATGGTGCTGTGAGTATTCCTCCGTTCGCTTTCCCCATGGTTTTGGGGGGGATCTGCTTTTCTGTCTCAGGTTCCAGAGGGGCCCCAGGGTGGGTGATGGAGAAGGCAGGGACCCTTCCAGACCCTCCCACAGACTGGGCTGGCCAGGCTCCATGCGAGCTGCTCTGCCACCTTCTCCAGTGCTTGCTTCTCTTCTCCTGTCCCAGCCAACCCCAGCCTGGTAAACCAGAGAGAAAAAAGGCAGCCAGGTTGTCATTGATGGGGCAACACTTGAGCTAGCCACCAGCCTGGAAGTTTCCCTTCCAAACTGTGTCTTGTCTGCTCACACCCTCCCCCCAGGCCCATCACTCCTTCACCCACTGCCTCACTTCTCTGTGTAGCTCAGTCTCTCCCACTCACATCAGTGGGGGACGGGAGGGGTGCACCAAACCCTCTCATCAGATTCCTCAGGTCCACACATCCATCAGATATGGCCTCAGTAGCCTGTCAGTCACACTGAGGTCACACCTGGATTGTTGCCCCAGATGGGGTGAGAACAGACACTATTCTCCCCTCCTTATTCTCGTTTTGACCACCTTAGCTCCTCAGGTGCCCCCAGTCACTTTGGCCAACCCTGGGCACCAGTCAGGCTTCCTCCTCCATCTGGAATACACAACATTTCCTTGGCCCCTCCTGCCCAAAACTTCTGTACTGGGGATGAGAGGGACACCATCATCCCCCAGCAGCCCAGCACTCAGGGCAGTCCGATCTAAGAAGCAGAGGCTGGCCAGACACCGGCTAGGTTTCTGCTCAGTCCCCAGCCTGGGTGAACTGCCTTTTCTCACATCTCCTCTTGGTGCCTGTTCTGTGCTTCCAGGGCCAGACTCACTCTGCCGCTCTCTCAGCTTCCTGCATGGTACCAAGCCCTGCCAGCACCCATCCCTGACAAGACTAGGAAGGCATCCCAGTGAGCAGGGCTGCACAATCTCCAAATGCTGTATCGATTGCAGGGTTGGGGGATGCAAGGGAAGTCATTACACAGAAGTGGACCAGTTGGGAAAAGGAGCTGGAGTCTGGTCTCTTGGTCTAACCTTAGGAGCCCCTCCCATTGTCTCCCCTGCCCTCCCTATCCAGGTATTTCACTGTTTCTTTTTCACTTGTGCACACTCAGAAAAAGGGAAAATGGTTAATAAAAGGGGCTTGTGCTGCTGAGCTGTTTCCCCTATGTCTGGTGCTGGGGACAGAGTCCAGGCCACTGACAGGAGGAGGAGGGGCTGGGGTGGGAGGCATAGATGACACTTCACCTTCTATGACCCCTATCTTGGGCATGGCACCACCATGCTCCCTTGACCAAGCAGGAACCTGCAAATGGCTCTCGACACCTTTTCTTCCCCATCCTGTCGGTCCTTCTCCACAAACTTGGGAGTGTGGCTGGGTCTTCAGTCCTGGTACCTCTGCCTTGACTCACACCCTCACGTGTCTTTCCTGCACATCTGTGGCCTCAGACTGGCCCCTCTGCTTCATGTCCCTCCCTCACCTCACATCTTGGGGTGAGCTTCAAAATCCTGAGCATCCACCCTCTGTCTTTTCAGATGCTTGTGTTGAGTGGGCCCTGGCTGTCCTGGTTATGAAGCCAATCACTGGACTCAGTGCTAGCAAGAAAATAATCATCAAAAAAGACTCCAGCTCTGTTGTCAGTCTAATTGGGAAGACTGAAGCTAAGCAGTCACACAAGTATACACTTGCAAATTGTGATAAGTGCCAAGAAGGAAAATACAGTGTTATATGAGGGGACTTCAAAAAGTTCATGGAAAAATGGACTTAAATGATAAAAATACAAGGGCCAGCCCATGGCTCACTCCGGAGAGTGTGGTGCTGATAACACCAAGGCCACGGGTTCGGATCCTATATAGGGATGGCCGGTTAGCTCACTGGGTAGCTGACAACACCAAGTCAAGGGTTAAGATCCCCTTACTGGTCATCTTTAAAAAAAAAAAATGATAAAAATACAAGCTTTATTTCTCAACATAAGCTCCATCAAATTCAAGACAATTTTGTAAATGATGGTACCAGCCATTTAGTCCATCCCTAAAGAACTGAGGGTCATTGGAAGTTAACCATGTGTGTACAGTATTTTTCGTATTATTAACTGAAAAAAAAGGGTGCCTTTTACAGATATATTAAAATTAGGAAACAAAACAAAGTCAGAAGAAGCCAAATCAGTACTGTAAGAAGGGTACTTAGTGACTTCCCATTGAAACTCTTACAAAATTGCCCTTGTTTGATGAAAGGAATGAGCAGGAGCATTGTTGTGGTGTAGAAGGACTCTCTGATGAAGATTTCCTGGGTGTTTTTCTGCTAAAGCTTTGACTAACTTTCTCAAAACATTCTCATAATAAGCAGATGTTATTGATTTTTGGCCATCAAGAATGTCAGCAAGCAAAATGCCTTGAACATCCCAAGAAACTATCTCCATGACCTTTGCCCTTGACCAGTCTGCTTTTGCTTTGACTGGCCCACCTCCACCTCTCGGTAGCCATGGCTTTGATTGTGCTTTGTCTTCAGGATTGTACTGGTGAAGCCATGTTTTGTCTCCTGTTACAATTCTTTGAAGAAATGCTTCAAGATCTTGATCCCACTTGTTTAAAATTTTCCATTGAAAGATCTGCTCTTGTCTCCAGATGATCTGGGTGCAACAGTTTGGGCATCCATCAGGAGAAAGTTTGCTTAACTAATTTTTCAACCAGAATTGTGTAAGCTGAACCAATTGAGATGTCTATGGTGTTGGCTATTGTTTCACTTGTTAATCATCAGTCCTTTTCAATTAGGGCATGAAAAAGATTAATTTTTTCCTCACAAATTGATGTGTATGGTCTGCCACTGCAAGCTTCATCTTCACTATCATCTGGTCCCTTCTTAAAAGGAGTTAATCATTTGTAAACTGCTGATTTCTTTGGGGCATTGTCCTCATAACTTTTTGTACAGTATCAATGATTTCATCATTCTTTCACCCACACCTCACCATCAGTTTGAATTCGTTCTTGTTTAATTTTAGTAGAATTCATGTTGCTCTGAGAGGGGCTGTTTTCAGTCTGATATTCTTAATAGTGCCTCGAACTATATCCTGTTCAGACATGTTATAACAAGTTAGTACAGATTTATTTTGGTACAAAAAAATTTCACAATTCATGCACGGTTTTTTCATAATACTCAATTTCCATGAACTTTTTGAAGACCCCTTGTATTTGGGACTTTGAAATTTGTCTGGAGAGTCAAGAAAGGCTTCCTGGAGGATGTAATGTTTAAGCTGTCACCTGAATGATGAGTAGGAATTAACTAAGTGAACAGAGGTAGGGAGAACTTACCAAGCCATGGGAATTGCATGTGCAAAGATGGGAAGAACATGGCTTGAGGAACTGAAAAGTGACCAGTATAGGTGGAGCATTGCCTGGGTGTGGGAGAGTAGCAGAGGTGAGACTCGAGAGTTGTGGATGGGTCTTGATTTGCTCCTCCTTGCCCTTAGGGTCAAATCTAACCAGCTCTTTTTCCACTACACTCCCCCGCTCCACTCCAGTCATACCCACGTTGTTTGGGATCCCCACTCCTGGTGGCAGGGGGGCAGAGGGAGTATTTCCAAGGAGGAAATGCTCTGGAAGGGCTAAAGGTATAAAATAGTTCATGCCTGACTTGGGGGTCAAGAGCTGGAGGCTGGGTTTCACTTTCTCCAAGGGCACAGAGGGAAGGAAAGGTTACATTGATGCCAATGGCAAACTCCAGTGCAAACAGCCAAATTTATCCACTCATACATTTTACTCAAGACAGCCCCATCGTAATGCTCCCCATACTTGTAATCACTTCACCTATGTCTGTCTCCCCCATTAGACTGTAAGCTCCAGGGGGCAGGACCATGTCTTTCTTACCCACCAAGCATCTTAGTCCAGTGCCTGACACATAGTAAGCGAGTGCTCAACAGTTGTTGAAGAAATGAATGAATGAACAGCAACATTTGTTGAGTTCTTACATTGTACCAACACCTTACTTTCATCATCCTCATTTGGTCTCCACAACAACTCTGAAGAAACTAAGGCTAAGAGAGGTTAAATAGTTCGTCTGTGTTCACACAGGTTATAAGATTGGAGCCAGCCAGTACTCTTACCATCCATGAATAAACAAGTGAGCAGAAGGTGCTCTCAAAGCCAGCCTGATGATTTCCAACCCCAAAAGGCAAGCATAGGAACCTACAACCCCCATGCTGGCCCCAACATATCTTGAAACGTTGGGTCCTTTCTCAGCCACTTCACATCAATTGGTGGGGTGCCTGCCGTTTAGTGACTCTGGTCAAGTTGCCTCCCCTCTCCAGGCCTCTGATTATCTCTAAAATGGAAATGACAATCACTGACATTATTTACCTCACAGGGTAAAGGGCAGCCAATGTAAAGAAAGTACAGTACTTAAAAAATGAAAGATGTGCTTTATAACCGAAGCCAGGTTTACAAGAGACATAAAACTCAGTTTCTTCTCAAGAGGACACGTACTGGAGTTTCCCCACCCCTCCTGAGAGTCAAGGTGCTTCTCCAACTTTAATGACCATACAAATCACAAATAGCCTCGGAATCTCCTTAGGCTACAAATTCTTATTCAGTAGGTCTGGGGTGGGGCCTGAGGTCTGCTTTGTCAATGCTCTCGGCGATGCCAATCCTGTGGTGGCCCTCAGGCCATACTGAGTAGCACAGGCCTAGTGGACATAGCAAAATTAAATCCCAGTGATGTTCCTTACACTGTGAGAACTCAGGGGAGTTGGTTCACTTCTCTGTACCTCCTTTTCCTCACCTATAAAATGAGGGTGATGATGCCCACCTTGTAGATATAGGTATTACAAATCCAAGGGTAAAAGGCATAATAAAGACTGTCGGCCATTTCACTGTACTAGAAGGAAGGAGGGGAGAGAGTGCATAACTGCAGTTTCTTTCTTTGGTCAATAGAGGTCACCTTTGCATAATTTCAGCTTATGAAAGTGGGGAGCCTGTGGCCTCAGAGGAGACTCCAGGCTTCTGAGTCACTGAGGTTCCTGGTACTTGGCCACTGCCTGGTACATCCGAGTGACACCATTATATTAGGGCAGGGCCACCTCTAAGTCATGGCCTCCAGTCCAGTGGAGAAATTAAACCAATCAAATAATCACAGAAACTAATTGTGTAGGTACATGTGATAAA